CTTGAGAGTAATCTCTCCGATAGTCGGTCCACATTAAGAGTAATCTCTCCGATGGTCGGGCTACCTTGAGAGTAATCTCTCCAATAGTCGGGTCACCTTGAGAGTAATCTCTTCGATAGTCGGGCCATCTTGAAAATAATATCTCTGATATCCGGGTCGTGATGAATATCCATCCCTTCGCACCATAAGAGTAATACCTCCGATATTCGGAAGGGGATGAGTACCCATCCCTTCACACACTAAGATCACACACTAAGATCACCTTCTTCATATGGGGAACTTATCCTTCTTTTATTAACCTACAAAAAAAAGAGAACAAAAGATAGTGTAGAACAAAAGAAAGAATTTGCCTTAACAGTGGGTGCTCCCTAACTGTAGCTTATGAATGTTACAACTGATGCCAATTGAAGGAAAATCACGTCGTTACTTATAGAGCTTCCAAAGACAGGTATTGAAGAGTTAATACCGATGTGGGATCGATGGTTATCAATGTTGAAGAAGGACTAGGTATCCTATTCCTAATTCAATTGGAAAAGCTACTGGCGGTGAAAAGTTTTCCCAACATATTTAGAGTTGGACAAACCATTATCCAAGTAATACCTACCATAGCTTTTAACTTCTAGTAGGATTTGTAAGAGTCCAAGTAAAATTCAAAAAAATTGTCCTATGTGTATTGGGAGGCTTATCTTTATCAATATTAAATAATTGATCAAAGAAAGCTAACGCTAAGTTTATTAGTGAGACAGTCACGTGAAGTTATATAGAAGGCTAACATCTTCTTAAGTTCCATTCTCCTTAAGTTACAACTATACGTGCGGAGATCAATTGAGCATTTATAAGAAATCAATCAAATGAAGTGTGATAATTGCTTTTTATATACTAAGTTTCGTCTTCAAAGCTCGACAAGCGTTGAAGTAGGGCGCATTTGTAGGCATACAAAATTTATTGAATTTAAATTCTATAAAATAATTTGGACTATATATTAAATATGTTAGTCCTACTAAATATTATGGACTAATATAAGTAGATTAATTATATAAGTCTTAAATCTTAATCCATTGGGCTAGCCTGTTTAGTTGGGGTAAAGTGATAAGCCCACTTTATTATGCCCAAAATGTCATTTTCCTAGAGGCCCAATTTAGTGCCACACGTGAAATGATGTGGCACGTCAAGTCAAACGGAAGAGCCAATAAGATCATGACACATGTCAAAATGACAAGGCATGCCAAGTCACATTAAAAGGCCAATGAAATCATACCACGTGTGCAAGTGACATGTTCTGGCCAATCAAATGCAGCCTTGTCACACTTCAATTTGATTAATCGGAAAGAGTTTGTTCTTATCATAACTCTTTCCTCCCACAACTATAAATAGGGGTCTTCATAATCCAGAAAAGACATCAGAAGTTATACAAGAAGTAAGAAAGAGCTCGTGAAACAAATGCTGCAAATTCCTCCACAAGTTTCAAGCTTCAAGTAATCAAGTTCAAGTTCAAGCTCAAGAACGAAGAACAAGTCAAGTTCAAGCTCAAGAACAAAGAACAAATCAAGGTTCAAGAAATACGAGTTCAAATCAAAGTTCGTGCTAGTTGAATTCAAGATCATCGTTCGTGGCAACAACTACATATTCAAGATTAAGCTCAAATGTCCTTGAATTTATTTACTATTGGAAAGAAGAATCAGAGGATTCATAGAGATTACAACAACAACAACAACAACAACCCAGTATAATCCCACTTAGTGGAGTCTGGGGAGGGTAGTGTGTACGCGGACCTTACCCCTATCCTGGGGTAGAGAGGTTGTTTCCAAATAGACCCCCGACATCGTTCCCTCCAAGAACTTCCCACCTTGCTCTTGGGGAGACTCGAACTCACAACCTCTTGGTTGGAAGTGGAGGTTGCTTACCATCAGAGCAACCCCTCTTGTCTTCATAGAGATTGTACACTTATATTATTTGAAATCAAATACTACGATTGTTGCAATATTTTTCGATATTGATTTTATTTTCTCGACGCAATTTATTGTCTATAGTAGCGTAGTCAGGAATCTCGCCAAGGGTGTTCAAACTTTAAGAAAATCGATAAAATTATTTTTGATGAATGGGTGCACCAAATATTAATATTTATGCAATATTTAGCTAATCAATTAAAAAAATACTTATAATAGAACTATAATTTTATAAATTAAAACTAAAATAAACAAGATAACAGAATAAATTTAGGAAAGAGAAAGTCGAGGGTGTTCGTATCACTTTTAAATTATAAAATTTGTTTAAGATACAACTTTAAGATTAGTTGTTTGCGTCTTACACAAATGTTAAGTTTTAAGAGTTATTTATTAGGAACTTTTTTAGATTGAAAGAGAGTTAAATAGATACATATGGTGATCTCCGTTTTGTTTAAATGAGAAGATAAAAATATTTAGACAGAGATTCAAACCCGTAAACAACGCCTCATTTTAAACACTCTGAACTGTTAGATTACCTCATTCAACTGTATTAAGGGTGTTCAAAATATAATATATATAATCATATAAAGTAATATTTAACTTATATACACAATATAATTATTCGGCGAAAGATGTTTGCTTGACCATCCTTAATGTGGCTACGCCATTCACTACTAGAAATTCGGCAAAAACCGACCAAGGTCGACTGACCAACTTTGGTCGGTCAAAAAAACCGGCCAAAATTGGTCGATTTTGCAAAATATTTTTTTTTTATTTTTTTTTACAAAACCGACTAACTTTGGTCGGTTTTCTTTGGCGCAAAAATGCGGGAAACTATTTTTGAGTTCCACGAAATTTATTTTTCAAGAAATCGACCAACTTTGGTCGGTTTTTTATTTAAAATAAATTAAAATTAATATTTAAAAAAACAACCGAAATTGGTCGGTTAATTTGGGCGGTCATTTTAAAAAACCGACCAACTTTGGTCGGTAATTTTATTTTTTAATAAAATCGATCAATTTTGGTCGGTTATTTTCGTGCAAAAATATAATTAAAGAGTATAAATCGAATAAAAGACAGTCTTAAAATAAAATGCACCAATGGTCTAGTGATAGAATAGTATCCTGCCACAATACAGACCCCCGGTTCAATTCCCAGATGGGGCATTTTTCAATTACATAATTAAAATACTGACCAACTTTGGTCGGGTTTTTTGGCAATATTTTTTTAAAATTTAATTGACCGACCAAAGTTGGTCAATAATTTCCGACCAACTTTGGTCGGTATGCCCTTCCGACCTTCAAAATATCGTTCACACGTAAATGGTCGCGTTTTGGACGGTTATTGGCCATTACTGACCAACTTTTGTCAGTTTTTTTGGACGATTTTGCCTGAATTTCTAGTAGTGATTGTTCGAGGTTTACAACAAATTAATATAAGACATGTGTAGTTACATACGTATATATTTTTATCGCTTTGATGCGCGTGCCCAGCCATACATGATACACCTGTGAGCTCGGCCACACAGAATCCAGACAATATAAAGCAATATCTTTCCATGTTCTCTCCTCTGTGACAATACGACTTCTGTATTGTTTTTGACAATTTCCTACTAGGGATCTGGATATATTGCAGATGAACACATTACCGGAATATCCATAGTACATTATTTGCAAGCAACAAGTACATCAAGATTCTAATAAGTATAGTCGTACTAGTGCTTATAATAGGTAATGTACTATGCTTAATTCTAATGTTAACATATACTCTTTCCGTCCAATTTATGTGACATAGTTTGAATAGATACTATGTTTAGAGTATCTTTGTGTTCAAAACGGATAATATCACACTATGTTAATAGTAGTTTCGGGTCATTTTAGCCCGACCAGAGTAATGTTTGATGATCTAACTTAGTTTGTTACCGTAGGGATCTCATCCTTTTACCATTTGGTGTTTTTGGTGAATTAATTAGATCAAATGTGATGAGTGACAGTGGATGCTTGTTAAGTATTTGATTCGGATATATAAACATATAGAAGTTTGTTGAATGTTTAGATGTGTACAAGTTAACCCGAATATTATTGCTATAAAACAAGAAAAGTAAAGGAAAATATGAGATTTGCAGCGCTATGCACCCATGGCAACGCCGACTGAAAGGTAAAGCAAACCAAGCAATGGCTTTAAGCCCCAATTTTTGGGGGTT